CTTTGCATTTGGAAGGTGCAAAGCACATACCATATCTGGATACCTCGATCGCCAAGCGATTGTATTCATTCCAATATGTACATATACAGACTTCCTTGTGAAATCGAGATGTCATCCGACGATAAGGATAATAGTCTACTTGTAACAAAAGCCTGAGAGCGGCTCCATTGAAAAAGAACTGGTAAATAAATTAGTCAAAATACTACCACATGCCCTGAAAAATGGCAATGTATATCTACCGCATCGAGGCAAATATTGACCACAATCAGAACCACTAGCAAGGAAGTAAGCCGTTCGAACATATAACCTGAGAAGCGATGTTTCCCGTATCCACATGAACATTAAACAATTGGAGACGACGACGACGACAACAACAACAACAACAAATAGTTGCACTCAAATTATTTTACGGCATTGTATATTTTCATTTTGAACAAAAATATAATATGTCTAGCGAGAGAAAAAATCAAATCTTGTTTAGTTCTGCTAACGCAGAACAGTACTGCAATTAAAATTCCTAAGCAATTTTATTAATTAAGGACTATATATTTTAATATACCAGTTCATAAACACAAGTGTCGGTTGTTTTGACCAATACATAATGTGATCAAAAGGGTTCGACGATAAGTACGGCTAATTTCTAACTAAAACATTTGAATGCTGACGGAAAAAATGACACCAGAGGCAAGAATGCCCCACAAACGGTGAACAAACTAGCGAACCAGATTCTATTCAAATTCAAGGTACACAAGCGGACAGCTGCCTTTGGGTCCTAGTCCTCAACAAGCAGGGACGAAAAAGTTGGCATAGTATCTTAAAGGAAGCCAGTAGGAGAGAAGAAAGCAAATAAAAAACGTGAACACTGCGGTTTACGACGTATAGTGTAGTTTCCAAGTGTTTTCAACTACAGCCGATGGGGTACGTTGACCCTAGCCATGCAGTCTAACCGTATGCACATGACTCAGCGTGGTAGTCAGGGCAGACATGGAAAAAATGGTTAACAGGTTTTGAGAATAGACGAATAAAAGCTGGCAACATATCATCCGTTCTTGATTGTAACTTTTGGGGAACCACAAACCAGACGAAATAACTATGGTAGCACTTTTCTTCTATTTCGTGAAGTTTATGTAGATTCTGGACAAAAAGCACACGATTAAAGATACGACCCGGAAAAATCAGACAAAGTTCGTGATTGAAAACGGGATAACTATAATATGCAATGATATCAGTGACTTTCAGAAAAAGACGTATTCCGCGCTTTCATTTCTTACCATAGAAATAATAGTATTTTTTGTCATTCGTTGCATTTTCTCCGTAATTCGATTGTAACAAACGACAGGACTGCTAGGTTACATAACAATACTATATTAAATATAAACTCCGGCATTGATTATGGTTCGTGTAGATGGAGCCCATTCTTAACAGATACACAATACGGCCATCACAAATAACAAATTGCATTTCATTCTTGTAAAACAAGAATCTCGCACTTTTAGGTACCGATTCAGGCTGTTGTCTTTCAACTATCTGTTTGGCTATTCAGAGAGAGAAGTGAAAATGGAACAGCTGAGAGCACTGTCGAGATACAGAAAGCAAGCAAAATGGTTCTGTGGATCAGGTAGACAGATGCACGACCACCATGACGATCGACCATATCACGCACAGTCTCTAACCGCTGTCTGAGTTCATCACGAGACTCTCAACTACAAGGCCCTCGATGAACTATATGACAGACAGTCCATGCCAAGGATTGTACACCCTGATTTCCAGTTCTGGTGTGACTATAGTACAGAAGTGTTGAATTGAAAGAAGTGCACGGTGAGCGAGAAAACAATTTTCAACTAACAATCGAAAGAAATAGCCTCGCGTCACAATTAACAATGAAATAAAATGATCGAGCTTCCTTCTTACTATAAAGGGAAGAATATATACATGTTTACAAATGTTTAGAATTATCTGAATTCAGGACACTAGTGTGGAAGCTAAGTCCGTATCAACTGCCTTCGTGTGGCCGCCTGAGAACAGCTCTTGCCGAATCGAAGGGGAAAAAGCATTTCTTTTTTCATCAGCCCAAACGCGGTGAATGGTGGAATGAAGAAAAAGCTCATGAATGAGAACCACTTTCGGATGAATGGGATAAGACAATGGAAAAAGGAATTTTGTAGTCGTAGCAACCAGCACCACGACAGAAAGAGAGAAACAGCCACTGTTACAAGTGACACAGCACAGACCGAGTGGATGTTAGAAGACCACAAAGCAAAATAACTCCTTCTCTGTGCTTCAGTAACATTAAAAAGATATAGGGTAGATGAGAATAGATCATCAAAATGAAATAATAAGAGGGATAGTTAACATACAAATTTGCACTGGCAAATCAGAGCCAATAAGTAATCTCCGTTTTGATCTAGCGAGTAAGGCAGCGATCAGCGAAGTTCGCTTCAATATATTTCGCTCTACAATGATGATGCTATTCTTAATTTTGTTAGCAAGAGATACCACAAAAAATCCACAAGCCCTATTTGAACTAAGTTGGAGATAGGGTGAAAGACAACGATCTTCTGTGTGCTTCAAGTTTGCATGGCACCACAACTTTGCACGACAACGTTCAGTGCCATTATTATGAGAAAATGAAGACCAGAGACGATAATCAGCAAACGTTGTTCGGTTCTGGTGGATTAAACAATATTCACTTTTTATCTGAGCCAACTCTTCTGCATAAAGAATGCGCATTTTATAGGCGACTAGTTAGTGCCTATTTTTCCGAGAATGGCAGGCAGATTAAGTGAATCATCTCCCAGAAAAACACACTAGAGGCCGTATGTTGCAAAGTAACCTGACCGACGTACGAACACTGCCACATCACTGGTCGGCTTTACTTGCAACAACTCTACTGTGGACTGTGCTCGTTAATGGCTTACAGTGGCACGAGCAAGCGATTAGGAGAGTATATAGTGCCCTTTGAGATGAGCAGTGGTAATTGGTGAGAACATGAACAGTGTACGAAATTCGAGAAAATAGAAAAAAAGAAAGCTGAAATAATTTATTTCTGTTGAAGTTTGATCGTCCAGCACGTAAAATAATTCGCAGTTGTTCGTGACAAACAGTTTTGTGATTGCGAATAAAATTGAAATTCAATCTGAGTGAATTACCACAATGGAAACAAGCTGCGCAACGCATTAAAAACGGCAAAACAGATTCAACGCACTCATAACGTGAACGATTAACGATTAGATTCCGTCGGCGTCGAAATTACCTGTATTCGCCATTTTGGTACACTGTACAAATTCAGATCATATATATATATATATATATATCACGTCTGAGCCCAGAATCTGCATCAAACAAGCCACAGCACAATGATATTAATAAAAAGGTGTTCCATGATTTGTTTGTGGGCGAAATACTACCAGGTTGGGTGCTACTCTAGAAACGGAACAAGTTCACGCACATCAAGATGCTCTATTCGGGTAGCTATAACCATGGTTTCGGATACCGTTTGCCAGGCAACAAACGACCACGTTCTCAAACGAAGGCAAAGTGGATAGTTTAGATATAGACGACATCTTGGTTCAAATAGACGGTTAGAATGAGAACTGATGCTACCATTGGGGACGAGATAAGATCGCATACAGCTTAAGCCAACCCAACCAAAGACTAAATCGACAAACAGGTAAAGTAAAAAAAAATGAAAAAAGACAACAATGCCCTAAGTTTGTAAAACTTCGTCAAACCTTTATTTTTATATTTTGTTACCTAGTCTCTTGTATACGAAGTGCTAGTTGGAAAACAATAATAACAATGCAATTTTAAAAGTGATATAGTAGCTTACCCGGAGGTGGAAGCGTCAGGCAAGCGACCACCATTGGTGAATTTGGTGCTGCCGCTACCCAGACCACTGGTGGTGGATCGACCACTGCTACTACCCTCTCCACTCCTCAATCCCGATGAATGCGATCGATGGGGACGGTGAATGAATGCCGGCTGCGATCGCTCTTGAACAACCGCAGCAGCCCCACCATAGGCGTTGACCTGGTAGTTTTGCGTAACCAAACCGGGAGCTCCATAGGTAGTGTCCAACCCACGGAAATAATTAGTCGATGAAGTGTTAAACGGAGGGTGTGAAGTGTTCTTCGTCACCGTGTAAGGTACTAATGAAGTGTTTGCCTCGGTTTGAGCATAGATACCACCAGATGCGTAATACGCTGAGGTAGAACCTGGAAGTTCGATATCGAAAGGGGGAGTATTGAATTAGGGGACACGCAAGCCTAGGCAATCGAATGAATTAAATGAAATATGTATTACATAATAATTTTAAGAATTCAATGTAAACCAAGGATCGCATTGCATCATCCGAAGGAACAAACGTGGATAAAACAGAACCGATGAACTCGAATAAGACAATAAATTTTTATCTGTGACATGTAAATGTGACTGTATTGCATAAATCAAGCAGCTTAGTGCGACTCAAGCCAGAACTTAAGTACTAACATTTTTCAGGTGAAACAGATCTCGCTATTGAGCCAAGTAACGGTAAAAAGGATAGATCAACAGGTGAATTACAGTGACGATGTACCGTTGGTTATTGTATAGAATGTTTTATTAAGTTAAAAGGAGATAAGATGCAGGACAGATGCCATTATTTCACGCATCCAAACACAGAAGTGATTTAGTTGTGTTTCGACGAAACCATGATAGGCAGTTACAACAAACGAGACTATTCGGCGTAGCATTCCGTGATATGTCGAATAATAACTGAGCCATTGTTGCGTGGTTTCTTGTTTCATGGGAATCCACTCGTGAATTAAAAATCAATGAGCAGACCGCAATTTTGGGATCGAGGGGAAGTGGTATGCATGAATGCACACCACCACAAATTCTGCCTGATTTTATTCCTGTACAGGCATGAATGAAAATGACATTTTGAAAGACGGCAATAAAACGCATCACGATGTTACTCGGGAATCGGTTTTGTGTATTAAGAAATGCGTATGAATAAAGCTTGATTGCTGCATTGTCCGATCAAATAACTAACTACACTGCTCTCACAGAATGGGCATCATATATATACACAATAGTGTGCATTAGCGCAAGCAAGCAAATGAGATTGGTATTATCCACCGGATTCTGTGAAAACACTGAATACAAGACAGTTTCTAGTTTTCATTCAAACAAAATCAAAATCAAAAACCGATCATTAAGGGGTTATGGATTTAAAATACTAAAATTTTCCCTCCGTTGGTTTGTTGAACCGACAGTTTACCTTGCCAAGTCTATATGTTTGAAAAACACCATCTAGGTTCTCGTAACTGTATGAATTACACTCTTGTCGTCGAGTACCACTTTGTGCCGCGTTCGACAATGAGTTTCAGCAATTTATTGGCTTCCTTAGAGTAGAGTAAATAAATAACTTCAAATTGTACCGCTTGAGCACGACCAGTGTGGTCGCAGTTGGATTGAAATGAAACTTGTCCATGTAAGATGTACGACGTATAGTAAGATACTCATGCAAACACGCACATATTGACGCAAATGAAAGTAAACCATTGATTCAACTATTTCTACTATAATATTTAGTAACCTTTGATAACAGGTGTTTCGGAATTCCGAACCGAGCAATCAAATATGAAAGTAATGAGGCTTCTGCAACCAAATAAGATCAAACAACGGTGGAAACCCCACACAGAGATGACTTAAAAAACATAGCTGTTTGCAACGGAGTACCGGAAAGTGAGCCTCAGATAACGACGGTGATAAACGTTTTCATAAGTTTACTCATAACACCTGTTTAGTAAGCACACTATTCCACAATTCGTCTTCAGGTAGGCGGCTAGGGACAGCGCTGGGACACATATAGACTTGAAGAAATTGGACGGTACGGATTGGCTCCGTAGGCAGATTTTTCGGATAGAGTTCATGGCGACTTAATTTGCTTGACTACATCCACATTATCACAAAGTCAATGTATTCCACGACCAGCAAGCAGGATGCTAGTGGATAGTGAACGAGTGTGGTTGATTAACGAAGTAAGAGCTGGAAGCACAACAACAAACATTTAGACGGACACAATTAGCTTAGTCTTCGTTCTGAGGGTATCATCACAGATGTTGGTATGCGCAATGTACGTGTTCCAACAAGCTTTGCCAGAATGTCAAACTTGAAGTCTGGCAGGGAGTGCAAACGTACTGACTAGTAGTAACACAAAGAATACCAGACATTACAATCAGTAGAGCTCAGCTATCCAAGGCCGTATAGCCCCGATATCCATGTGAATCCTGTGTGAGTCGTTATCAAAATCGTCATCTAACTGTGCCAGACTGAATGAATCGGCTACCGTCGAGATGCCATGACGATCATTCGCAGCTAGTGGATACCAAAAATGTACACTGGTCAGTCGTATACCCTGCAGAGACAGGGTGAATTTTAGCAGTATGAACTTTACCCGTACATAAAGAAGTGACAAGGATGTAAACAAGTGAATGGGAAAACAATCATTAAGTGTTGTAATAAAGTTATTCAGAGCTCCTGTAATTAAGCAAAGGTCAATATTGACCTCCTTATAACTAGCTTATAAACGAAGCGGTCTTGAACGACTAGTAAAGATTACAAACTATTGAGTGAACACGTTTAATTTATGCATATGCCAATAAACTGCAATAGCCAACGCAAGAAGTTATCGATAAACGTTTATGCGCTCATTTATTAGTTCAATTTCAAATGTGACTGTTTTGGGAGGTGAATCCATATTCAATCCTTCCCAATTGATGGAAGATGGTTTTCAAGGCTTCCATTAATGAGAAAATTGTACTTGGAAACTGTGTACTGATTTCTTTTATTTCTGGGAGAAAAGATGAATTACGAAGGTTCAACATCCTAAATCAAAAACCTATAATGGGCAGAAACTGGACCAAGTTTGACTAAATAAGAGCAAACCCTATATGTTGACATCGGGTCCTTCATTAAAATATGTTTCTGTTTGCAAATGAGACAATAGGAAAAGCATTCGTGAGATATATCACAACCACCTCAGACAGTGCACTGAAATGATCCTACTTGAATGAAGAGTATTCAAGCCTGATTTACGTCACCTGACCACATTGTTACTCGCGAAATATAACCACCTTACGGGGGCAATGCTGCGCAGACAATGAACGTTGAAAACAGATAGTCGTTGCTCACGGTCCGCACGGTGAGACTATGTTGTAGGTTTAAAACAGTATAAGACACCGTTGTTGTATACATAGACGTCTCAATGAAAGGAGCATGTCACGCAGATTAGTAAAACAACGAACCTGCTTGTTGAGAGGTCGCCTTATCCAAATCTTTGTTAGCTGTTATGCAACTACCATGGTAAACAAAGATTTCGACCCCCCTCCCCTCCCCCGTTAGAGCTACTCCAGTCAAAATACTTGAAATGCTGATACATATTTCACAACAAGTTCATACTCATAATAATTACATAAATAGGGATGAGCTTATATTTCGCCCGAGTGCATTCTGCAAACATGCTAAGCGGTCACTTCTTTTCAAAACGGTAACAAAATTATGAGAACATAAGAGTATATCCGGAAAGTATCTCGGCATTGGTATACAGTCAATTTTGTGGATTCAATGTAAAATGAATGAAGTTACTAAATTGAGATGAAGGACCACCATACTGCGCCCCGGAACCATCATAGTTTAATTCATATAGACAGTATACGATGCTACCTTTGACTGCAACGAACCTCAAAGACTCCCCGTCATGGACATTATACTACTCTACAGAAAATTCGCATTCACTGTTCACAAAGGATATGAGTGTCAAATTAACCTCAAAGATGTATGAACCCACCAACACAAAACTACAGGCAACAACACGTACAGACGGATTGAAGTGGACCCAACGAAGAACATCGAAAGCAAGATTGTTAAAGTACTGAGCAATTTGACACTCATAT